CTTCGTCTAAAATGAACGCATTCATAGGTCAAAGATATCGTTAATTATTCTGGTGACATAGAGAAAAAACAATGAGAACATTATGAATTTAACTATCTGTCGAACCATAGACAATCAAAAATCTACCGTTACCATAACTAGGTTGCTATAAGTAGCGAAATTGTAAATAATCGATAGATCTCGTAAGGGACATGACCTGGGGACTGACGAGCGGTAGTCAGCGTATTTGTTTAGCGGCCGCGTTTGTCGGCGGCCTGTCGCCGTGTGTGGTCGCTAGAGGGCCCTTCACTGCCCTCGGTATGGAGAACTCATATTATACCGACCAGTTTCATCCTTCGCAATATTATACTAAAGGAACAATATTACTGAATGATGTGTCACGGAAAAGGGAATCACAATGATAACAAAAATAAATAAAACAACAGAACTACTAAGTATCTCGAACCATTAGAATATAAACATTATGTTCTAGTTTCATTTTAAGATGCATACTTTGGTACACCATTCCAACTAACTTCTTAAACTAAGAATGCTTAAGACACTAAGCTTAATCTTAAAATTGCAACTTCCACCAAAAACAATAAACTCAATACTCTTTGGTCTTTATTGTATTAACATTTGTTTTCTATAATTAAAAAAAAAGGTTTTAATAATGTTATTCCTTAGCGTATAAAACGTATCAAAAGCAAAGGAACAATAGTTAAACAGCCACACATGTCAACAGATTGTAATGAAATATTTTATTTACATAAATAATGGAATTGACACGTATATATGCAAAGCAAAACGTCCTTGTTAACGTTACGTTATCGTTGGCCAGTATAACGATGAAATCCAACTGTTTATGGCCGTTTTTACGATACTGAAGCGCGACCAATCAGAGGCCTGCGCGCGAATTAATCAACTTTCCGTTACAGGTGCGCTGTTGGAGTTGCCAGTTACTTTGAATTTGCTGATATGATACAATTACATTCACATTTACGTTCTATACTTTCCATATAACAAAAGCTCATTTATTTGTGTACTAGCCGGCGCGACTCCGTCCGCGCGAAATTAAAAAAAAACTTAGTAAGTATATGTGTCCTTCCAGACAATGTACTATATGTATGCCAAATTTCATCGAGATCCGTTCAGCCGTTCTGGAGATACCTTTAAACATACATCCATACATCAATGTATATCTTGTTAGATAACATTTGCTGTATCCGTTAATATCAAATTATACGAATTTGATAAAACTTGTAAAAAAAAATTAAAACATCACTAATAGTAATGAAAAAAGTTTACAGTTTGTAATCATTAATTTCAATTATAACAAATAATTACACGAAATGTTTTCACGTACATTTTGTGGTAAAAAACATGGTAAATTACCAGCTATTTGCAGCGATATAACTAATAAAGTGTAAAATGCGTGAAATTATTTATGACGTGCATCCGAACTGGTGATAGAGAAGTCGATGATCTACACATTGACGCTCTCCGTTTACGCTAGTGATGTGCCAACGACGACTATCGATTATCCGTAAAAAAGCATTAAATACATTCTTGTAATATTTAAGAATGCGTTATATAAATGTCTGCTTTGTTTTGATTAAAAAAGATAATGTAATTATCAATTTAGAGGAATAAAGCAAAGTCACGGCTTCAGAGACCATGATGCTTATGTCTGTAGAAAAGAGGTGATAATGACAATCGTAAATGTCTGGTATAGCCGTTAATAAAAAAAATGCGATAAAAAAAAATTCTACGTTACAAATAGATAATATGTATAATCTGTGCAGGTTTTTATACACTTTTTCCTGACGCATAATTTTACACTTGTACTTTTGTTTTCAAATTTAAAAAGTTTATTTCATTCAGAAAGGAATTTAAGGTAAGTTTTTAAAAATCGCTTGTGGCATGGCAAGTTATCTGTACTAAACCTACCACAATACTGATCTAAACGATTCGTATTTATTTTATATCGTTACGCTAAAACTATCGTTATAACTAAAGATATCGATATAACTAAACCAACTCTAACGCATTAATAGCCTTCTCTTTGAATCGGGCTCCTTTGACTTACTACTAATTGGTTTCAGAAAGAGACAGCTATACATAATAGGCAATACAAGTGAAAGAGAAGCTAAAACTAAAGGCGGGAAACATCTTTCTTTGCGCGCCTAATTTACGAGCCCCCTTTGCCGTTTTGCCGTTGACAGTTACTAGTGTTTTCGGTGAATATAACACATTCATTAATTCAAGCGTCCTCTCATGTTTAATATCGTTTCAAATATATTACTTTTCCCGTTTGAGAGCTACGAATTTCAGCCACAACAAAGAGTTCAATGGTTCGTTAAAATCTTTCTGAAACGCCAACCATAATATATGACACTTAATTTGAATCGTTTACTTTATTTTTTGATTTAATTTCGTTCTTTTAAGTTTGATTGTTGACATTTCAGTATGCTTTTGATATTTGACTATTATGAAAGTGGTTTATCAATATCACAAGGTAAAAAAACTCCCAATCAAGATGTACAACTAGGGTCCGTACGTAAAATCAATGTAAAACGTAAAAGTCAAAAAATCCAAACTTTCTAAATCCGCAGTCAAACGGCAGTTTTAAATATTTATAATGAATAACCCTATTGATGCAATGAATTTGTCGCAACGATTAAATTTTAAACAATAATTTTTAGGCATGAACTGGAACGGTTTTAATATCTGTGATGACTTTCAATGACATTATTTTTTTTAAATCACTCTAGGCACGGATCATCACTGATGTCAGCCACCGTAGTAGATTAAACATAATAAATCTACAGCCATGTCCACAGATGTGTGTTCAAGCGGCTAGGTAGCAACCACGCCCTCTAGCGGGCAAAGACGCCGGCGTCACTAGTTTTTATATATCAAGACCTAAAAGAGAAACCGAAAATATTATGTTTGAATTTTCCAAGAAGCAGTGCGAAGAGTTTTAAAAGGAATATTTTAGTCTCATTTTTAATGCCTAGTGCGGACGAGAGGAAGTCGCTGGATGTGATAGAAATCTGTGTCGCTGGACGCACCCTGATGATTTTTAACAATTATAAATGGTTAAGATTTTTTATTATTTTGTTGGTATGTATTAAAGTTTTTGAACTTCATTACTGAGTTCTGACTGCAATAACATTCTATAAAAATATGAGAATTGTTCATAATAAATAGAAATTTGGTTTTTTATTCACACGACGGCAGACTTTATAATTCATGTCCACTGCATTGTTTGTCAATTTAATTCGAACAAAAGAAAACACCAGAAATAGATCTTGGCCAGTAAACAAGTGCTTGAAAATGATAATGAATTTTAAAATTAAATTATGCGTCGACAAAGTTTTGTCATTTTTTTTCATAAATTGACAGCAATCTCGGAATAGTGTAGTGTAATCTCATTAAATTATGTTTTTCATTAGGTAATAAAATTTAACAGCCAGATCCTAGTAAATCAGGGTTTTAAAAAGTTAATTTTAATTTATTATTGCAAATGTCAATTGTCATTTTGAATTGCGCCATTAGCAAACAAACGCGGCTTTCATACAAAAACGTACTGGCCATATGTAATAACCTATAAAAAAAATCTGATTTGTCAACAAGTTTTAAAAGTAAATTTTTGGCAATGGCAATCCCGATATGACCATTATAAAGCCTTAGTCTTGATCTTGTGCAATTATTAGATATTATTGGTATATTAAACTTAGTAACTTAAGAATCATTGTGCTATTTCAAACCATTCGACTTCATCTGTCTTACTGACAATAAAACAAGCGGCCGTCAGCCGAGCATTTTGCAAGGACTAATTTGCACTCCTCGAGAACAAGTAGTGAGGAGTGACCGGCAATATATCACTGGCCATGTATTTTTTTTTCTTCTTTTAGTGCTGTGTGTACAAAGAAGCAAATATCCCAAAGCAACTAACCCTTTTTATTCCTTGAACGTGAATTACGTAAAGGTTTTGTAGTCATCGACAAAGTAGATTATGTATTTACCTTACTAATATTATAAATGCGAATATTTGGATGTATGGATCTCGTGGAAATTTGGCAAAAATGTTCAACATAGCCTGGAAGAACACTTAGACTAGTAATTAGTTTTTTTAATCCAGCGCGGTCATTGGTTTTACATAACGCTTTTTATAGCGTATATAATCTTTTAAGTGTTAAATATGAGTACCAAAACTGTAGCAGATACCAATCGTATAACGTTACTTGGCATTTTGACAGCTGTCATGTCACTGAAAGACTGCCACTGGTGGCATTTATTAGACGGTTGCAACGTTGCAACATAATCGCATGACACTTCAATAAACGGGTATTCTGAAATTTTACTGTAAAATGTGCTTAAAAGTCTTCAATATAAATATTTATTGAAAGGAATATAGTGCTTTTCTTACCTATATTTATTATACAAAAACGACTAAAATCTGTTTCTAGAATTAGTAAGTTTTTGATAAATTAAAAAGCTTTTTTGACTGTATAACCAGCCAGTAACAATGTTTTTTTTACTTTTTATATCCTCAAATACATGGTACGTAGAATTTATAATATGGCAACATTTTACGATAAAGCAACCCTACACTGTTAGAGCGAGCAGCGGGGACACAAAAAGAGCATTCTGTCTGCGTCTTGTGGACTTCAAAGGTCGGGTGTCCGGTGTCAGAGGACCGACACTAGCTATGACGAATTCATACTTTTAGATGTTATTTTATACTAATTCGACATAATTAAAGGCTTTGATTCATAGACGACAAAAAAATATTTTTAAATTATAAATCAATATTTCATAATTGGAAGGTGAAATAAAAGAGAGATTCGTACTATTCGTATTTCGAACGCAATTAATTAATATGTCTGTCCTTAAAAATTATTTATAATCTTTTTGTCTTATATCCCAGTGTAGGTGATTATATTCAGTAACAGCAGGCATGGGTATGTTGTCGAATTAATCAATTTAAAAATGAAAATTATCTTTGTACTCAGATCCCAGTGGTGGTGCAATGGGCAACGCCGGTATGGGCGGCCCAGGCACGCAACAGTACGGAGAAGTCAACCAACTGGGCGGTGTATTTGTCAACGGACGACCGCTGCCCAACGCTGTTAGATTGAGGATTGTTGAACTGGCTCAATTAGGCATCAGGTACATCTTCAAATAATGTATTTATCACTGGCAACACTAACCGCTACAAAATAAAAAAAATATTATGGCCTTTGCTAATCGCTTAGAGAAGACTCTGTGGGCGAAATAATTTTTAAAATCTGTTCTATTTTTGAATTAACGGATTCTTTTTTTTCTCTGAAAATATCTTATTAATTCTTGTATCAGGCCGTGTGATATCAGCCGTCAACTTCGCGTCTCCCACGGCTGCGTTTCCAAGATCCTAGCGCGGTACCATGAGACCGGCTCTATCCTGCCCGGTGCCATTGGCGGCTCCAAACCTAGAGTTACAACACCAAAGGTAAACAAACTTTTAAAGAATCGGTTTGGATGGAATATTTCTAGGTAAACTTTGCATCAAAAACTATTTTTCTATTACGAATTCTTTCCAGCTATACTTTTGATGTAGATTTAAATCGGTTCAGTGAAGCGAACAGTTTGAAATGACCATACGTAGATTAACTTTTTAATGTTTTCTTGTTTGTAATACTTAAGTGACGTAAGAATTACCAAAACGTGTACATAATTCGCTCATACTCAATCATCACGTTTGCTAAATATTTCGACATTTGTAGCACAGTAAATGTCACTTGGAGTCACGGTGACTTTACTTTTGGATTTTCATATATTTTTCTCAGTAATATAACTCCTCTAAAATCTTCTAATGATTGTTTCTCCTTGTTAACCAGGTGGTATCCTATATCAAGCAACTGAAAGCGAAGGACCCGGGTATCTTCGCGTGGGAGATCCGCGACCGGCTGCTGGCGGACGGCGTGTGCGACAAATACAATGTTCCCTCAGTGTCCAGTATTAGCCGCATTCTGCGCAACAAGCTAGGCGGTGGCGCCCTCTACCCTGTACCCCCGTTATACCCCGTGCCCCCACAGCGCTGCTGGCCGCTGCATCAGCCCTACGACTATTATGTCTATTTGCAGGTTAGTTGTGACAACCCTAACATTAATAGCATTTGCATGTTTTATGGCAACCCTACTGGTGACATATAAAGGTGTGTAGGATATTAAGGTATGAGGCAACCCTAAGATCAATCCTTAATGCCTACTCATTTAACATATAACTATGGCACCAAGATTAAGAGTTATGGATGGGTTAGTATTTAAAGTGGAAAAAGGGAAATTAAAACAAAATAAAGACTGTTTTCCACAGTGATGTTTTATAATAAAACTGCTAAGTATTGTATTTCCTCCACAGGGTCGGCAGCACGCCGCGCCTCCGCATGCGCTACCCCACCATCCACACCAGCCGCCGCCCTCACACGCGCACGCGCATGCGCTCTGACACGGACGCGCAGCCACGAGCTGCTACTAGTATGGAATTGAAGTCATTGAAGAAAAACCAACTATAAATCAAGTGCATAAGAACTAGATTTGACTGAAGAAACAACAAAGAATTTAATTCAGTTCCCACTTATGATGATAAACGACCGTAACTACAGAAGAAAGGAGTCAGAGTTTAAGAGACAAAGGGAGAATACTCTGTAAGCCATATGCTATTAGTAGTATGCAACTTTGAACTTGCAACTCAAGGAATAAAATGAACTCTAACACATGATTGACTTCGCCTACAACTATGGAACTTTGAACTTCAGTTGAAGAGTATGGAAATAGCGTGAAACTTTGAGTGAATTTTCGAACTTAGTACAAAGTATTTGCTTACATCGTGAAAAACAATTAAACGTAGGTAATAATTTGTGTTGATAGCGAGAAAAGTATTAATATTGTAAATAAACTTGTAAGATATTAGTGAATTTTAAGTTTTATTGATATTAAGTGCCGTGAAAACAAAATAATAGGCTAATATAATATTTCGATTAATTAAAAAATGTTTTTAAAATTTTAGCGTAGCATTACGTCTTAATAAAGTCTTTACATCTGGCCTTAAACTATTTTCTGATGATTAAAAAAACAATTGTTTTGTCTGTGGTCTGATTTATAATTATTTGACATGTTAATCTGTGACACATGAAATATGAACTTATTGACTTTGCCACAGACTAAAAATAAATGAAAGTAAAGGTAATTTTTTAAATTAAGGTTAATTTTGAAAATAACATTTTAAGATTACAGTGCTGTATATTTTAGCTGGGTGCAATGATGTAAATAATTAAATAATATATTGTAGAATAAATGGCAATTATGGGTACTCATGATAAATTAATGTACTTATTACTATGACCACTAATCCTCGGAGAAAGGTTTATTTATAGTTAAACTAATAATAATGTAAGAAATAATTTTAAAAAATTCAATGCAAAAATTTCATTTTGACTCTTTGATACTCGAGGATTTTGGTCTATTTAATAAATGTTAGAAATTCGTGAATTACACGTCCTAATTATAAGAATTCTTGGAATCTTGGATGTTAAAACGACAAGCCATAATAAAAAAAACATACCTAATTGTTAATAAAATCTTCATAGACCAACGTTAATTCTAATTTTAAAATTTTTAGAATATTTTGGTTTTTATTACTCATTATTTTAATTTAAATTAATAAAAGAATTATTAGACGTCGAACATATTTAATTGAAGAAATAAATTGTTTCTTTCTCTATCTGGCTGTTTTATTTACTTATAAAAACATTAAACCGAATACAAATTAAATCAAGTAAAGTCAGTTTGAATAAGTTAAAAGAATTAATTGGAAAAAGAAATCTTTTTTTAATTCATTACTCTTATTATATAATTATTCGTTAATACATATACAAGTGGATTAACAAAAACTTGAAGTCAGACTTTATGTTAGGAACAAAAACGTAACCTAAATTTGCCTACCTATATCTAGGTAATGAAAATTTTTTCATGTTGTAGTAATCAAAGTAGAATACAAAGTCACAGCAAAGAATTGATGTGTTTGTGTTAATGTGTTTTTCGATTTTCGTATTTTACATATGTACATTAATCCGTCGTTCTTACGGTAAAGGAAAACATCGTGATGCAACCTGCACATATCTGAGAAGAAATTCAAAGATATGTGTGAAGTCAACCAACCCGCACTTGGCCAGCGTGGTTGACTATGGCCTAGTCACCCCTAACTTAGGGTAGGCTCCGAGCCCCTCGGTGGGGACGTATAGGGAGCTGATGGTGATGATGATGATGATGATGAAAGTATTAATTCAGTCATTGTTACAAGCGCCTACATTCAAAGAGGTTTTTTACAAAAAGGGTTTTCAATCGTTAATTGATTCGTGCAACAACACCGCCGCGTCCTAAAGCTTTACAACCGAAAACAATAAACGGAAATTGCGACCCATACAAATATCAAGCTCCGGACACGAATTACCAATTAAATCCTTGCTTTGTTTCGAATTTAATACCACCTAATCCGAAATTTTACTGTATTAATAACAAATTTTACGAGCGCGGCCGTTACTGCGCGCGGAAAAAGCGCGGGAGCGGCGGCAAAAAACATGATGCGTGCAGGGCTGCCAACATAACTGCAAATCAGTTTCATAAATAATATAGAAAATCCATACGCAAGTACAATTTTATAATAATAGTAGTCATATTTTATAGACTAAATAAAAACGGTTAACTCACGTATCTAATCCGGTGTCGGCTTGAATGTTTTATCATCTTTCTTGGAACATACATACTTCATGCACGTTTGAGACGAATATGCAATAGAGATTTAGAAGAAAAAATCTAAGAAAACATGATAGTAAAACATCATTGTGAAAATACTAATCCGATTTTTTAATTTAACATTTAAAACTTTTTTATAAGTCTACTGTTTGTAAGCCTTGGCTTTGCCTCTAAAAATGTCAAAGTAATATCTCCCGATTTATTTTTATGAAATTGCCAACCCTAATTCGGTGGGCAGTGTTAAAATGACATTTGACGCCGTCGCTCAGTTCCAGACGTAATTAAAAATGAAAGAGTGGCGAGTGCGGTGGCTTTGTGGTCGCGACTTCGAAATGCCTCTACTCGGTCTAAAATGCGGCGAGTGCTATTGAACATTGCCAGTATAAAATGTCTCCTTGTAGGTTACCTTTATTGAACGTCGAGACATTTCAAGAACTAACTACGTTTAGACATTATTAGTTAGAATCCTTTGGCGCGAATGGCACAATTTCGTTACAAAATTACGTGTCAGAATGATAGTGAGGGGACATAAACGTCGACATTTTAAGTAAGGCTAGTGTTGCGTCAGTACACACATTGCACATTGTCTTCCGGCCAATGTCACCTAACCTAACACTACGTGGACTCTTTCTATAAAACGTATATGATTTATTCCATTTGCAAATCTCTAGCTTTCAAATGTCTCTGGTAACCGTAATCCACTTCCTTATTTTAGTAATGCCAAGCGACCGATTACTTTTTATCCACCATAAAACTTTATAAAACTCCTTTTAAAATATTGAAACCATAAATCGATAATTCCACTACTGAAACGTGATGTATACGAGTTCTTTGTAACGTTTAAATCATCTTCTTATCTTATGAAGATGACAATTATTTTACTTTAATAGATAAATAAAGTCAGCAAAATATCAACTGGAAAGGACGAACGATCAGCTAATGCGAAATGAAATTAAAATTGACCCTCAAGCGCCACACGCCCCGAGATTCGAACTCGAACTGTGGGCGTGTCGGGTCACGTTACAAAGCCACCGACGCACGTGCGCCGATGTTTATACAACGCTGAAACATTTAGTAATCTAGTGATAGCATTCTTATGACATATTAGCTGTCACCCGTGACTCTGTCCGCGGGAGATTAAAAAGAAAAACTTAATCAGTAGCCTACGTAATTTTTCAGACTGTGTTCTACATCTATGTCAAATTGCAGCGAGATTCATCCTGTTCTTGAAATACCTTCTAACAAACATCCATTCATCCATCTAAACATTTATAATATTAGTCAGAAGAACAATTTTAAAGGAAGTAAACCACTGGGTTAAAGTTTTTTTCACGTCGTATCGTATTTTCCACCAATCATTTAGTGTTAGTTGCAGAAGAGTATTACTAAATCGGCTTATAATACTAATAAGTTCAGTAAATTTTAACAATGGTAGACGCCAGCAACAACATTATCTGTTACACGAAGGTCTGCTCGACCGGTGAACGACCACAACCACACAGTAGACAGGCGTCAAGTGAAAGCAATTCTGTGTTTAGTCTGATGAGTGTGCCTTTTCTTATAACAAAAGAATGGAAGGGGGCAGCGGATTTGACGACTCCACCGTCGATTAAAGGTATGTATCGTATCTGTAATTGCACTTGTCTATGGGTCGCTTTGCTACTTTAGCGAATTTAGGTGGTCGCTTGTTCGTTTGCTTTTTGAATTTGTAAAAAACTACAAATTAAACTTATTGAAGGTATAGCGCCATCTAGGGACGAATGGATATAATACATTGTTTTTTTTTTTCAAAAATTATTACTACTTGACAAAAGAGGTCAGCCCATATACAACAATTAAAAATATATAATTTTTTACACATAAAATATAAAAAAGTATTAAAAAAAGAAACGCAAAAACAAAATTATGTTACTCATACAGAAAAAAACCTTTACAATTCAATGGTTGTCGTAACTCAATTTACCCATAACAGCAAAATTACGAATACAAACCCTATCTACGAAATTTGATAAATATATTAGTTAATGTAATCATAAAAATTAATAAGACTTTTGCACACGGCTCTCGTCCGTACACTGACAGTGCCGCGTGCAAATTACGTAAATCTGCATTACGACAAAAAAGATTAAAATTATTAAGATTACATTCAACAAATTATTAAAATTTTACATTGTTGTGTTCTGACGCTCTGTATTTATTTTTAACTTACTGTGGGTTTGTGAGACCAAAGTATCTGTATCAAAGTATCATCTCTGTTATTATCTCTAACAAAATACAGCCTAAAATATGTTTATAGAGTTGTATTGATCTAAGAAAACCACGTAAAAACTATTTTGCTTTCCTTAATATTTTGCATGCGTTCTTATTGCTATCGCTGGATAAGCTCAAATTATGATAAAAATATTCAGTAGCTTACAGAGATTAAAAGAAAAAGATAAGGCTATTAGGTGCTCAGTAACAGTAATAAGAAGGTATAATAGAAGAAAAGCTATAAGAAAATAAGCTAAATATTATAAAACGTCTATGTAGCAATCAACGAAAAATTCTGAAACTACGGATTATTATCTTTTTCTTAATGCGCCATCTAGCGAGGATAATTAAAACATTTAGAAAAATACTCTCGATTGAGGAACACTAGATGTCGCTGTAATATATTATGTGAGTTACAAAGAAAAACTTATCTTAAAATCCTTTTCTAAGCTTTCTGATATTATAGGAATTATATGATAAAAAAAATTATAAAACAAATAATTTACTATCGGTTAATAATTGTTCTAATATCGGACAATCACGAACAATCAATAACAATGATAACGAATTTGAAAGCCTTTTTGCGCACGGCTCTAATATCTAGAGTACAATATTGGTACAGATTGATTGGGGACGTGTGAACATCACTTAAGAGGAAGATAATTTTTATAATAAAAATTCCGTAATACGAGATTCTCAATTTTGAAAGGTTATTGTACTATATAATACATGATTAATATTGGCTATATAAGAGAACTACCAAAAAGCGGTTCTGAAATTCGCACGAGTAGCTGCTCAGAACACAAACGCGAGGTTTACGGGACGTAGCGGGGGGAGGGAACTGCGAAGCGCGTTGATGACCTTGAGCCGCCAAATAATACTTGCATTTTTATAAAGTTTGATCTAATTTCAATCTTTATTATAACTTCTCCTTAACCGGTGTGTTGCACACGACACCATTTCGCTTATCATTAGCTTTAATATCAATTATCATTGATAGCCGACCAGCCGTTCATACGAGCCGCGCAATGGTCACCTCGTGCTCACTAGGGTGGCCAAAGTCTTCACATTATTTAGAACTAGCCATTACCTGCGACTTCGTCCGCGCGGATTTTTTTTAAGAGAAAGATTTTCAAATCGGTTTAGTAGTTTTGGTGCTCAGTTAATGCAAACTCTTTATTGCAATTTGCAGACTCAACGACAGACCGGTTTCTCTATTTTCTGAAGAAATTTAGAACAGTAAACTAATTCTACTTGACGTAATTAGAATAATCGTCGTATTCTATCATTAGAAAAATGGTAAACGAAATCAAAACATGCTGTTGTCTTTACAATTTTTTTTATTTAGAACAGAACTTTGCTTACAAACTTCTTCAGAAAGTACTATAGAAAAAATCGGGACTTTTTGTAGCAAATAAACTTTTTTTATAAACAATACAGTAATTCATGGCCACTGTCAAAGCATTCCTTTGTCTCTAGGCGACGCGGACCGTTATCT